CCCAAGTTTCTCTCCAATCTTGTAAGAAACTATTTTTCTACAGATTAGACATGAAGACACAAATATCTGTATATTTTAAGATAATATGTAAATCATCCATCCCATAAATACAAATGCTTAGGAAATATTCACTATAAAATGTAACCTGACCAGAAAATATAAAATGAGAGCACAGAGAGCATGCAGATATGAGGCAAAGAATGTGAACGTGTCATTCAAATTATACTGTTGAACAAATTAGACTGCTGAAACATCTAGTTTTGTTGTCAAAGGAGATGGCCTCAAAAATTCCTAATCATCTTTAGAAAAATCTTCCTACTTCTCAGACACCACGTTCTTTTACTTTTCCTATTACATTCATTGATACCCTTCAAGTTTCCATTCTCTAAACTCATAACCTTGAAATTATCATGTATGTCTCTGTATTTTTATTCTTTATATTTAGCCTGTCTCCAAGTCTTACCAGAACTTTGATAATTATATTTTTCTATTTTTTTCTAAAATTTTAGCCCCAGGGAGAGCATCTAGTAGATAAATCTTGAAACAACTTCTTACCCTAGCTTCCAGAAAAAGTTATTTGAGAGTGACTGTCAATCATGTACCCAGTTAGCTACTGAGCAAAATTTTGTAGTAGTATATACAACTATTACTCCTTTTCCCATTTTCTGTGCCTTGGATGAAGAATGCTGTTTATAGAAAGATTTAGTACCTGGAGAGATAAGTTTACAGGAGAAAATTGATTTTAAACTTCCAACAGAAATATGAGGACAAGTCACACTGCCTCCCTTTCCCAGAGGCATGCTCTGCTTGTTGGTGAGCTCTGCTTCCATCACGCCTGCGCCTACACCCTTCTCCCTGGGTGATCTTTCACTGCCAAGTCCTCCTCCTTCACCCACTATGAAGGTTAGTCTGATACATTCTTTTGCCTGTTGCTCCAGTTCCCACCCTCCACGAACCTTCAGCACCATACCTTGTGGAACTCCTAAATTATTGGGCATCCATCTTTTTAAGTTGCTTCCTCTGTCTCATCCTTATTTTTTTCTTGTTTTACCCACTGTCCTCAAATGAACTTGCTGCTGCTCTGCTACAACTCACTGGACTAGAGGCTACCTGTGCGCCATTTTGGCAAAGAATTTGTCTACATTTTGGCCGTGTCCTAAGGCATTGTTTAACACTGAATTTGTAAAGTGGCAGACCAACTGATCTGCTGGAGGAAATTTCAAAGCAGCCTAACTTGCATGGATATTGATGTGAAGGTTGACCAGAAAGAAAGTGTGTGTAAAGTTTGGGTAGAGGAGAATGTGATTGCTGGGAAGACTGGCACTGCAAAAAAACTGCATTAGTTCAATAGGTAAATGACTTGAAGACATCTCAGGAATCAGCAAGACCCCATGCATTACAGGCTCTAAGATGCAAAAACATACACTTTTGAGGACAGCCACTGAGCCCCCTGTTCAAGAAGGCTCCCTAGTGAGTTGGCTGCCTGGGATTTGATGATGCTCAGGCATTCAGAGGGGCTGGGGATTTAGCTCAGTGGTACAGTGCCTGCCTGGCAAGTGCAAGGTCGTGAGTTTGATTCCCAGTACAAGAAAAAAAAAAAAGAAAAGAAATATCATCCATTCAATAGGCCTACATTATCTCTACACTTACGAAGTTCTAACATCTTTTCAAAACTTGGTAGCCAGTTCCACCTACATAGTTTCTCAATATGTTATCAGTTCCACTTGATTTCTCTATTTCTGCTACAGACACAAACATCTTTCTCATCATCCAGGTTTAGAACCCATAATTCATTACATCGTGTTGCTTGTCTATACTTAGCACATCTTTTAATCTCTGGCATTATGTTCTTGTTTGTCTTTCAACTGATCTCTTTACTTTAATTCGCAGTCTTTTAAGGTGAATGTTATTATCCAGATTTTATAAGTAGAAGTTTGGAGGCTGAATGACTTCTGTAGTGTTACAAACCTGGTCAGGGATGTGGCAGGATTAGAAACCAGTTCAGTCTTAGGCCAGATCTGGGTTTTTTCCTCTCATCAAACCAACTCTAAAAATAGAACCTGTTGCATAAAATAACAGTACCAAAATATGTGTAATTAGAAGTAAATGTTTCTACTTTTTAGGATTTTTCCTTAACTACAAAAGGTTAATTATTATTTCACCGAGTGAGCCCTTATTTCAAAATTTCAGCTTTTATCAACATATAAATTACTAAAACAAGTTAGGGGAAAATTGGAGAAAATCCACTGTGAAATACTGCTTTCCTGGTTCCACCCACCAGTGCAGGAAATTTTGGTGTAACCTTGGACAAGCTGCCCAACCTCTCTGTGCCTGGGTTTCCTTCTGTCTGGTATCAGACTTTACCTTCTGCAGTAGCAGTGAGGAGTCTGTGATACCTAATGTGGGCAAATTCTTTGACATACAGTAAGCACTCAACATAGGTGATATAACACAAACCAGATATGGAACTAGCTTTGTATGAGTGGGAAAGTAAGGTGAGCTGAATCCCCAAGACTTACTTAGTACGATCCCTCTAACACACAGAGATATGGAAAATCCAAGTGTAAGGAGAAGAAAGTTACCTACACATAGTGATCAGGAATATAAATAGTAGACTCCAAAATGATATTAGAGCTTTTTATTTATAGTATAGAGTTTGAAATACAAAAAGGACATACCAAATAAATATGTTAAACCTCAGTATTTTATGAATAATAAAATGATTAACAGCCCGTGCCTGATTTTATCTAATCTTCAGCATTTAATCTCCAAAGCACTTATCAATAGATCCAATTTAATTCAATAAATTAATTGAAATGAACCCAGTCACCCATTTGTGAAAGCTTCGATGTAATTTTTATAAGTGCTAACATCTCTCCCAAGTCAAACTTTAGTCTTAATCCTTGATGCCTTAGCTCACCATTTGCATCCAAATTGTTCTCTACTTTCCAATGGACTCCCTCTGCACTCCCTTTCAGTCAATGCCATTTTCTATTTAAATAACCATCCCTCTTACCTATCATTATAAACTTATTTTCCCTGCTTTTCTGATCCAACACATTTTCCCATTGCTCTTTCTATTAAGTGCTGCCTAACACCATCTCTGATGTATCAACTGTCTTTCTTCACAGCCTCTGCTGCATTTTAGCCAACCTCCTTATTGATCCCTTTGAACTTTTCCTGTCTCTTATATACAGTGGCTCCTATGAGACGTGCTCTACAATGATCCCTCCAACCTGACTCTCTTTATTAAACGCCTAAAAATTTCTCTTCCTCTGCAGAGTCCTCCAGACTTAAAACAAAAAGGAGATAATACTTTTCCCAACCCCAATGACCTACTTATATAGTCTCCCACCTGAAATCAGACACTCTTCACTCAGAAATTCACCTAAACACTGACCGTGTAAATTAGCAGACTTAGCACCTGACCAACACATTATCGCTTGTGCATTGCACTCTCTCCATGTCTGTCCTGTGACAAAATTATCCAGGAAAACTATAGTCCATCTTAGGCAGCAAGAATCTTAAGTCCTGTTTCTTAACTAGCACATCCCAACTCTGTGAGGCATGAAGTCATCCTCAGAGAGAAATGTTCCTTTCTGCCAGCCACTCAGCAGGGACTTAGGATGTGTAGATAATGGAGGATAGACGTGGCAGAAGGAGAAGATGCCACAGAATACACTGTCTCCCTGAATAGGAGACAGTTTCCCCAAATACTGTATCTTAAAAATGAGCAATATTATATTTGAACCTTTGCAAAGTGCCTCATATCATGGGGATACTTTCATAGTTAGTTTACTATGAATAACAAATACTATTGGTTGGGGATTCATTGAGCCAAAACAGCTTTTCTGAATGCTGGTTTAGAAGCTTCTGGAAGTCATCTCATATGAACAGTTTTTAAAAATTATTTTCAAATGACATATAGTAATTGTATATATTTTTGGGGTACAGTGTGACATTTCAATTCATGTATACAATGTGGAATGATCAGATGGGGAAATTAGCCTATCTATCCTCAAACATTTATTATTTCTTTGTGTAAATATTCAGTTAATTGTTGTCAAACATAGTTATCCTATTGCATAATAAAATAAAAGTCATTAATCCAACTTGTACACATTAATCATCCTCTGTGAGCAGTTTTTTAAAAAGAATTGCCACAGATTTAACCATTATTCTGAGTTATTTGACAACTCTACATACTGTATATCATTTTAACAAGACTCCAATATTTCCTTATATAGTAATATTGGGGAGATCATAGGGTGATTGTTATTTTTATGAAAAATTGCAGTCCAATACTATGCAAATGGTAGGTGTGGCTGGGATAAAATTCCCCCGTAACAGTATTACACACTGAGATACAAAACATGAAATAGAAGCACAGGCAACCATTTCTAGAAAACAATATTGGGCAATTTGAAAAAAAAAAAAAAGCTCACATAAGTATAGAGTCTGTTGCTGCTTGGCTGTTTCTAAGATGCAGGTGAAAAATTCAAATAAAATGTTCTTGTCAGGAATGAGCCCAAAATATTATGTCCAAAATAATATGTCATTATATGTAAGATGTGATTTTTACACATGTATGTGAGATGAAACTAATTAAACTCCATAAGTAAATATTTAACTCATTAATACCACTGTCCATCGCCCTTACCATATTTAAGCTAGCCAAAAGGCCTGCTTGGGTGTTACACCAGGAGAGAAATACTCTCACATCATCTATTGAGGTGGTCTTACATCCGGGCTCTCCCGGTGCGTTTGCGTGCACGAGGTGAAAATGGAGGCAGAAGGCTCGCAGACAGCTAGGTGTGCGACAGGCCCAGGGAGAAGAGACGGCGACACATTTATTTCTCACAGCAAGGTCACAAGTGTGTCCTGTACTAAGAAAGATTGGGACACTCTGGTCTGGAGGACAGGAACTAATTCACTTTAGTTCATTTTGTTCCAGAACGGCGAGTGCTCACTGGATATTATTCACTGAAGCTTCGGATGTGCCATGAGGCTATTTACTGCTGCATCTTTCTGATTTATTACATAACACCAAAGAATGAAATGTGAAAAACACAGAAGGTGGAGAAACGTTCAGCATCATAAAGTCATGTGTGATACATATTTAACCCTTTTTACAAGCTCCTCTAGCTAGTTCTTTAAGCCTATTTTTGGGCTTTCTCCCGGCTAAGGGCCCCCTTTTGTTGAGCAATTGCAATGTATAGTCACATTTTGAACGGTTGCCAGCTAAAATTCTTGCATCAGGCTTCATGGCTGTCTGTTCCACCAAGACAAATACGGTCGGGCCCATCCCCTCGTTTGCGTGCATTGTTCATGGTGCGGAGCAGTGATTTTCCATATCTGACTGTCTTTGCGCTCACCCCAGGAGGAAGGGTGAGCCTGGTTTATTGAGTTCTCATTTCTCACAAAGCAGCAACATCTGGAGGGCTGAGCAGTTTGTTGGCAGGTCCAGCCCAAAGGAATTCGGCCATGGTTCCGATTGGCTCTTATCAGTAGGTGTCACTAAAGACAGCTTCAGAGGCAGAAAAATAAAGAGGCCAATTAAGCACTGCCAAGAACAAACTATTTTATTGTCATCTCTGTTCTTTTTATTGTTATTCCAACTGCAGAAGTTTCAAGATTCTAATTATTCCCAGCTCCCCTCCCCTCCCTGCGGCTGCAGATGGACATTTTTCCGTTTTCCAATGCCTTCCTCTAGAGTTAGAGTGGGACATTTCATTAATGTATTTATTTTGTGGTACCTGGTGTAGCAGCTTAGCAAAGTGAAAACAGATGAAGGTGATTAATTCTAACGCTTTATTGCAGGGAAGCTGCAGCTGGCTGATCATCCACAAACAAGCTTCCCCATCCCGTCTTCTTTGCAGGAGGAGCCAGCATATGCAGCAATCACACTCACCCATCCCACCTTGGCCACGCCTTGTGTCCCCAGAGGATGCAAGCATGGGCTGTCCAGCGGGAGGCCGCATATTTCTGAGGAGGTCAGCAGAGGGAACATCCAGGCCTCTTTCTGGAGAGGGGCCAGACTTCTCCACAGTGGCCACCATACTCGCTGGTTTTAATTTTTGTTGACTGAGGCTCTTTCACCTGCAAAGATACAAGCCCAGTGGGGGACTCTAAATTTGATCTCCAAATCCAAGCCGCACCGTATAACTACTCATAGTTACCTGAGGAAAACAGCTGTGGAGTATTCATATTTTATTTGCAAAATGGACTGTGAAGGATATAAGGGCACAGGTCCCAGTGTCAGCACATTCCTGGTATAGGGTAGAGGCGCAGGTAATGTTGGTTAAATGAATGAGATAGCTAGTCACTCAAAATATCAATAAAGTATTCTATAAAGATTTGTGTATGGCTTCTACCACCCTCTATATGTACTAAATTTGAATGAATTTTGGCAGGTGCTTTCATTCTGTCTGGTTTCAGGAATATTCCCATTACATCTGGTTGGTAGATCCTTCGGTTGCAAGACCAAAGCAATAACTTGTAATTCTCAATAGCTTATAATTAACAAAGTAAAGACACATAGCTAACAATAAGAATGATTGTTATTTGTAACAAAAGCTGTTGTTTACTGAGTACTTGCACCGTGCTAAATTAAGTTCTATACACTATTTCATGTAATCGTGCAATCCTACGTGATGAATGTGATTATTATCCCCATTTTACATATGAGAGAACTGGGACCTCGCCTTGTTATTTGTTCAAAGGGTACAGCTGGAAAACGGCAGAGCCAGGCTTAAGACCAGTCTGCCTGACTCAAAACCTGTTCTCTTAACGGGGTACTTTACAACCTTCTCTTCTAATGTGGAATTAGCAGTAGTAAATCTTAATAAAGAGAATGGAGGCTATATTGGAAGAGAAGAAAATAGAAAGTGGGAGAAAATGAGTGAAAGCTAAATCTGCACTGCAGAATTTATTGCTGGAATATTGGTGTTTAATATATGCAGGGCCCAAAAAAGTATCGCTTGTTTCCATGGCTGGGCATTATTTATACTCACAGTACTGTCATCTAGTCCCCAGGCACAACAGCGAATGACTAGTGGCCCTAATTTCCCCATGAACATTCTTCCCTGGCATCTTTCTGCAATTTTAGCCTCTTAAGTCCAAGTGACATGATGTCATTTTCATTTATTGAGTATAATTGCTAAACTATACACGCTGTAAATCTACGTTCTTGTATTCTCCAAGAAAAATGGTTCTGCAAATTCCAAATTACATACCAAAACCCAAAGCCCATGGGCCCCAGAAAAATGGCTAGTTTTTCTACCCAGAACCTACAAAAGATAAGAACTTCAAAAGCCAACCTTACACTCTGTGTTCAGATTAAAAGCTTGCAAATCTGAAGGAGCACATAACAGCCAAAAACTGATGGAGGTACTGCTTAACACATTGTAATACATTTCACTATTCATGAACTACTAGAATCATTGGTTTTTAAATTGGATCTTCCTCCAGAAATATTCCCTCTTCTAACAAGGTGTAGCATGTCCACAATAGACATACTCCAACACATTTCAAAGACTATCGCTTATGTTTTACCCCATATGAAGAACATCCCTATCGAATTTCATGTACAACAAGCATAAACTCAGGAAATTAGCCTTGCAAGTTAATTCTCTACATCTTTAAGAGTCACCCAGATTATTGTCATCTTGTCAAAATCAGTGATATGTCTCATCAAGATCAATCAAACTATAGAAGATGAATCAGTAAAGGCATACTTGATAAGTAAAAAATAGTTTAGAACTAAACTTCTGGAAGCCCTGATCCTTGGAGATTCATTTATAAAACTCAAATCTGCAACCACTGAAGACCTGCTATGAGCCCAACCCTCCACCTTGCACTGCCAAGAAGATTAAAATGAATAGCATTAATTTTGCCTTCAAAATCGTCACACAATTAAAAGGCAAGGTAAGTGTCATGATAGACAATTTGTCTTTTTTTTTGTTGTTGTTTTTGTTTTTTTCTGGTACCGGGAATCGAACTCACGACCTTGTGCTTGCCAGGCAGGCACTGTGCCGCTGAGCTATATCCCCAGCCCCCGATAATTTGTCTTTGAAAGAATGAAAGATGACTTCCATTAGAAAAATCAGAAGGTTTGTTAGAAGAGGTCACCTTTGAGATGGGCTTTGAAGGATATATCAGCTTTATTGTTGAAAAGTGAATAAATACAGCAGTGTGAAGTGGTTTTGAGCAGAAACTGCAGAACATACTGGGAAATCCAATAACTTAGTTTGAATGTAGGTAGAGATTGGACTAAAAGAGAGACAAGTATCATTTTTAAGATGAGCCTTGAAGACTGACCAGCTGAGGAGTTTGTACATCAGTCACTGCACAGAAAGGAGCTACTGAAGTCTTTAGGATAGGAGTAGCATAAGATCAACTGTAAGCTTCAGGAAAAACCTGACAACAGTGTCTAAGACGAGATAGATAAAATACAGAGGGAGTGAGGGCTGTGGAAAGGAACGCAGATCTATGTTAGATTTGACACCTAACAGCTCAGTAGAAGAAGGGATAGTACTAGTTAAGGAAATCAGGGGAGGAAACAAAGACTTTGGAGTGATGACAGAAAGGACAGTGGCTCTGCTATCAGAAATATGGTCGGGAAGAGGGAGAGGTTTTGCACAGGTGGAAGTCACAGTCTGACTTGGAACACAGTACCTGTCTACCACATGTAGAACAAATTTAGAATGCAGCCCTGTGGTTGTTAATGTAGAATCTCCTACCCCAGCAGTAGCAATAGAAGCCATGGAAGCTAGTCAATCTGTGGAGGAAAGAATGTACGCTTGATCAGGCAAGAAGGAAAACTGTTAACACGTAGTGAGCAGAGGACAGAGGTTGAAAACCATGTGGAGTTATGCAGACTGACATTTAAATCCAGACTCCAGCTTTAAAAGCTGTGTACTCTTTCCAAAAATTACTTGAAAAGATGTTCAACATTTTTACCACCAGATGTATACAAATCAAAACTACATTAAGATTATATCTCACCCCCGTTAGAATGACTATTATCAAGAATACAAAAAAAAAAAAAAAAAACAATAAATGTTGACAAGAATATGAGAAAATAGGAATCCTCCTACACTGGTGGTGGGAATGTAAAGTAGTACACCTACTATGGAAATCAGTGTGGAGGTTCCTCAAAGACCTAAAACTAGAGCTACCATTTGACCCAGCTGTTCAACACCTCAGTATATTCCTAAAAGAATTAAAGTCAGCATATTATAGGATACTTATGTACCTGTATACAATTTATTGTGGTGCAATTTGCAATAGCTGAACTGTGGAAACAGTTTAGGGGCTCATCAATGTCTGAACTGACAAATAAAAATATGGCACATATACACAGTGGACTATTATTCAGCCATAAAGAATGAAATATTATTTACAGGAAAATGGATGGAAATGGAGGCCATTACGTTAAATAAAATCATGCAGATTCAGACAGCCAAATGCTCTAAAAAATTAGAGGAGAAAAAGAAAGAGATGAAAGTAATGCAGGAGGGAGACTATTAGAAAAGAGGAAGCAGATGGGAGAGGGAGAGAAAAGGGGGAAAAGGGGAATAAAAAGGTAAAAATAATCAAAGTATGTTATGCACAGGTGTGAATGGGCCAAAACAAAACCCAATTTTTGGGATAACTAACAGGCACTAATAAAATATGTAAGTTGCTTTGTGGGTTTTTTTAATCTTTCTTCACAATCAAATGAAATACATATCAAAAGCACAAGTATGTAAATATCCAATGACAAACTGGGTGAAAGATATTGTAAGACATTTCATCAGAGAGAATATATGGATGTCAAATAAGCACATAAAAAGATGTTCAACTTCATTAGCCATTAGGGATATGTAGGTTAGAACCACAGTGATCTATCACCACACACCTATCAGAGTGGCTCTAATAAAAATGATGATGCCACATCATCCATAGGTCATCGTGACAAGGACCAATGGTACAGCCGCTCTAGATAACAGGTTAGCAGTTTCTTAGGAAGCTAAACGCGCACCTGTATAACCTGGTAACTGAGTGTGCTAGAGAAATGAGCAACTTCCATTGACACAAAAACCTGTACGCAAATATTCATAATGGCTTCATTCACAACAGCCTACAACGGATGCTCATCAACAGGTGACTAGGACATCTGTGCCATAGCCAGCAATGAAAAAGAACAAACTACGAGTACGTACTTGAAAAAACTTGGACAGAATTATGCTGAGTGAAAAAAGCCAACTCTCCCAAAATTACACACCATATGACTGTGTTTATATAACACTCTTGAAAGGATAAAATTATAGAAATGACGAGTAGTTGCCAATTACTGAGGAGGGAGTTGGGATGAGGAGGTTACGGGTTTAGCTTATGAAAGAGAAAATGAGAGCTTCTTGTGGTGATGGAAATGTTTTATATCTCCACTGAATGGATGCCAAGATCCTGGTTGTGATATTGTGTGAAAATTTTGTAAGATGTTACCATGGAAGGAACTGGTAAAGTATGCATGAGATTTCCTCTGTGTTATTTCTTACAACTGTGTATGAATCTACAGTTATTTCAAAATAAAAAGTTTAATTAAAAAAATTCAAGCCTCAAGTTATCCTCCTGTATTTTGATGAGATTTAGTAGAAAACCAGTACATGTTGATCAGTTGTTCACAAGAGAAGAGAGAGAGAAGAAAGAAGGAATGAATAAAAGGAGGGAGGGGGAAAGAAAGCATGTTTAGAAGCATAGGAGAGATGGGAAAGGGAAAAGAGAAAAAACAGCAACATACCTTGCAGAAGATTGTGCCTTGGAATAGTCGAGGGGAAATGAAGGCAGGAAAAACAGCTCGGAGGTTCTGGTAGGGTTCTAGGAGGTGAAATATGATATCTTTGATAATGGAGAGGAAACGTCTCCCTTCTCAATAAAGAACATGAATTTACTCAACATGAACCCTTCAAGAATTCCTCTTCGCATGAAGTCCCTGGAGTGTCCAAGAAAAATAGATGGCCCACAGGGCATAATTTTGCAAATTTAAAAGTTAAAACACAATCTCCCTATCTGCTCCAGCACATGTGTGTCTTTGCAACATGATATTTATGATGTGA